AAACAAGAAGTACAAATGGAAAACATTAGTAAATTTAAAAGCGCATTAGATACGTTAAAGAACGATTTATTGTCTGTACACAAGAAGGATATATTGACCATCGACCTAATCAGCCCAGACAATGGCAAGCCCCTTACAGAGCCCGCAGCTGAACCCTAATGCAGACATATTCAGTCCCGTTAGAAGTCACATCCCAGATATGAATGTCAGTAATAGGAGTGATCCAGTACGAAGGAAGCCACAGGAATACCATCCAAAAATATAATTAGAACTCGAATATCTTAAAGTACTAAAATAACTTTTTTTTGTTTTACTTTTCAATGTACAAAAAACAGCCGCTGTTTTGTTTGATTTTACATGTAAATTAATTTGAATAGTTACTATTTCAACATTTTATTGGAAACCTTAAAGAAACTGAAACAAAATTTAAGATTCAAAGCAATCTCTTTATGAACTCTAATGTGACTAATCTTAATACAGTAGTATTTTACAACTAGTGTTAAACAAAAACCATTGAATCCGTAGAATTTATGTCAGGAACAAAACTGTTGTAGTGGTATGACAAAGGTGCCGGTATGCACGTATTGGTGGTTGATGAATAAAGGGTGACCTGAGGTGAAATACACTTGCTCTAAAATCAAATTGCAGAGATACTAAAGCCAAATGTGTTTCTGTTTCAAAAAGTCAGGGGTAAATTTAGTTCTTGTTTTTTCTTTTGCACCAGTATAACATTTTATTATCTATTTCCTTATTTTTTACTGCTATATAATACCAGAATTTTTTGTTTCTTGCATGTATGCATACAACTGTGTTACGACAGCGGAGGTCACGTGACGTAGTAACACGTCATATTCTCGAAGCTTCCTGAAGTCTCGAGAGGTCACTAGATATGCGGTATTCGTGTATATATAAGACCTGTAAGAACTGACGGCAACAATGTAATTGAACTGCAGACAGAGAGAGACGTATTGTTGAGTCGAGCATGTGAGTCGTTCGTTGTGAATTATAGCATTTGTTATAGCGTGACTGTGAAAATTAAGTGTATTGCAAAGTTATATTCAGAAAGAATAAACCAGTTTTATTTAAGAAAGGACTTGTATCGCTAAAGTTTCTTTGTAAAGAAGTTTTACGGAAAATTAACTTATGACCGGAGACGTAACAAATTGGTGTCAGAGAGTGGGACAGAAAAAAAAAGAAGAAGATGG